CCTACTCTACCTAGCCTTTCCTGAGTATTCCAGATTAACCACAATAATGGGTAATAGTCTAGTTTTTCATATGTAATGTTTTATTGAAGATTGAAAACTGACTGCATGTACTGGATAAATTAAGTTTTCTGAGCCTTACTTTCCTTATCTGTAAAAGAGGCATAATATGATATAATTTCCAAGATTATAGTGAGAATGACAAATAATATATTGAAGGTGAATTCAATAAAGAGTACTGCATTTTTTTCACAAAGTTGGGGTGTTTTTTTTTTGACACAGATGATGTGCATCCACATATATGGTCCATACTGCTCAAAGGAATCTGATGTGTGAGAGACTTGCATGGTTTGCAAAAAAACATAATAGGGCATATGCTTTTTGCATAAAAACATGGGGGCTTTTTGTTTTTGATATATAGCTTTAGTAGTCTATGCCATCATTTTAAATAAATTACAAATCCTAGCATCCCACCCAATGGGGGCCTATCATGCATAAGGCAATTTTCATAGTTTTCAGGATCCTCTATTATTTACCTCAGCATGTCTCTTTTCATTTTTGCACCATTACCACCATCATACCCACTGCCATTGAGTAGGTTCTGACTCATAGAGATCCTGAGTAGGGTTTCTGGAGTCCTGATGTGCTGTGGGTTAATGCACTGGACTGCAAGATTGTCTTAAATCACAAGGTCGGCGGTTCAAACTCACCAGCCGCTCCTCGGAAACCCTATACAGGGTTGCTATGGGTCGGAAGCGACTCAACAGCACTGAACAACAAGAACAAGTCTTTATGGGAACAGAAAGACTTATCTGTCTCCCGAGGAGCAGCTGGTGGGTTTGAACTTTCAACAGTCCAGTGCTTATCCAACAATGCCACCAGGGCTCTTTGGCCCATCATTGTAGCTGCTATTCTGTGTGTTTGAAAAAAAAAAAAAAAAAAAAGAAAACAAAACCCAGATATTTTACTTTGCTTTCAAGGGGTTTCCCCCATTATCCCAAAATTAGGAGTAAAATCCTGACTCAATTTGCAAAACTACTGACAACTTTTAAAAAAAATCAGGAAATACTAACTACTCAGAAACATTGTCAATTTGCCTTTTTTGACTCAAAAAGGTGGTCAGTAACAAAGCCATTACCTCATAATTTAATGTAAAAGACTGTTTCCATAATTTTTATTTCAAGAGGTCTTATAACTACAAATAGGTAAAAAGCCATAATTTCAGGAGATATTTTTTTTAATGCTAACTCAATAATAATTGAGTACCTTGTCACCATGGAAACTTGTATTCATTAAGAAAAAAATGTTTTAAGTCTATAAAAATCTCCAGTCCTTAGTAATGTATTTCCTTTTTGCAGGAAGATGTACATTCCTTCAGTTTGCAATTTTGTTTTTTAAATCATAGAGAAATAAAATATTGTGTCACTGTTTTGAGCTAATTCAAAGGTTTGTTTTTTTTAGTAATTGTAACAAGCCTACTTTAAGCTACTTGTTTTTGGAAGCAAAATGATCTTCCTGCAGGCACACAGAAGTAAACCCTTCTTTTAATTTGTGTTTTGATTATTTTTGTCTCTGTGTGTGAGATGTGTCTCTTGCAGACAGCATATTGAAGGATCTTGTTTTCTTATCCATTCTGCCACTTTCCGTCTCTTAACAGGTGCATTTAATCTGTTTACATTCAGTGTAATTATAGAAAGGTATGGATCAATTGTTGCCATTATGTTTGTTTTTTTGTGTGGTGTTGCTGGTTTCTTTATTCTGTGTATCTTCCTTTGTTGAATTCATGCTTTATGTGTTCTTTCTTGTGAGTGTCCTCATAGTATTAATGTTTCCATGTTCTTCTTGGATTTTCATTCTCTTGGTATGTTGTGAAGTGTTAATTTTCTTTGAGGTTGCCTTATAGTCCTTTTCTCTCCATTTAGTGCAGTCTATTTTATACTGCAATCTACCTGACCTTTTCACCATCTGGATCTCTGTTCCTACCTGTTTACTTTCTTTTACATTGTAATTGTTTTGATCATAGACTGACCTCCCAGATTCTCTGAGTTTGTTCTTATAGTTTTATTCTGTTCTCGACTCTTCCTTCTGTCCATTTAATTCTGGGAGGTGCTGCCACGTATGTCAATCTTTGGTTATTGTGTGTTCTTATTGGTTCTCAGTCCACAGAACTCCCTTTAGGATGTTTTATAGGGCAGGGTTGGCTTTGGCAAAATCCCTTAGCTTCTATTTATCCTGGAATGTTTTGATTACACCGTCATATTTGATTGATAGCTTTGCTGGGTAAAGGATTCTTGGTTGGCAATTTTTTTCTTTCAGGGTTTTATGTATGTCTCCTCATTGCCTTCTTGCTTGCATGGTTTCTGTTGAGAGATCCGAACTTAATCTGACTTGATTGCCTTTGTATGTGACACTTCTGTTTTCCCTGGCTGCTTTCAGAAGTGTCTCCTTCTCTTTGATTTTGGAGAACTTGATTATGCTATGTCTTGGTGATTTTCTTTTGGGGTCTATCCTTCCTGGGGTTCTTTGAGCTTCTTATATGTTTATCTTTTCACTTTTCAGGATATTAGAGAAATTTTCTTCTAGCAGTTCTTCAACTATTTCCTCTGTGGACTTGTGTGATTCTTCTTGTTCTGGAATGCCGATAATTCTTAAGATATTCCTCTTCATATTGTCCAACATGAATCTTAGACCTTCTTCAGGTTTTTTTTTATCCTTTTATTCTGTTTGCTCTTCTTAGTGATATTGAGAGATTTGTCTTCCAGCTCACTGGTTCTGCCTTCCATCTCCTCTATTCTGCTCCTTTGCCCTTTCAGAGTATTGTCTATTTCTGATATTCTATTATTGATCATTTGGACGTCTTTCTGTAGGTTTTGAATTGTTTCCAATGCTGTATCTATTTTATTTGATTGTTCCTGTAGCGCTTTCCTGACTTTTTTCTTATTTTTTTTCAACTCCATTGTAAAGTGTTTTAAAACATTTTATAATAATTTTTTCTGAATTCCTTCTTAGGCATTTCTAAGGACTGCCCTCCTTCCAGAATGGAGTCCAGGTCTATCTCTAGGTCATTTGTCTCAGACATTTTATGTTGTTTCTGGACATGTGCTATGATCATCTGCTTTTGCTTCTTGGATCTGTGGCCTTAATACTGTTATGCCAAATTTCGTGTCCCCCACGGAAGACTCTACTGGAGTATGCAATCAGCAAAAGCATTTATTGATCTCAACACAGCATTGGGTGGGTCTATCATCTGAATTGATGGCAACCTAGAAAGCAGGCACGCAGGCACGCAGGCCTTTTTATAGATGGTCAGGGGAAGATTCTCGTGATAGCATGCCACCTTCAAGCTGATTGGTTCTTATCTGGGGAAGGTTGCTGATCGGCTCTTATCTGGGGACGGTTGTTGGCGTCAGAAGTTTAGCAGTTAGGGAGGGTTTTAACGGTCACTGGCGCTAGAGGTTTGGAGGTTAGAGTGGGTTCGGGTATGTGGGAAGAAATTTCTTTAGGGAAACTATCTTTTAATGAGGACTTTTCTGGTTGGGGTCTTTTGGTCCTTCAAATACTTAATTATGTGTTTTGGTATTTTTTATGCTTGTGTTTTATTTTTAACATGTGTGAACGGAATTGAGTAATTTAGTGGAAAAAAAGAGAGGAACACAAGTTAATTAAAACCTGGCAGATTGCGATGAGTGTGTAACAGGTACCAAATCGTTTGTACATCAGGAGAGCAGGAAAGATTTGGCTAAGGTATCTGGGAGTACCATTAAGTAAGTAGATTTGATGGTGGCTTTGATGTGGGGACTGAGGAAAGAGCTTTGTTGTTAAGTACCCTGGTGTTGGTTCCGACTCATAGTGACCCTGCACAGGGTTTCCGAGATTGTAGTTCTTTACAGGAGCAGAAAGCCTCATCTTTCTCTCGCGGAACTGCTGGTAGTTTCGAACTGCTGACCTTGCGGTTCGCAGCCCGATTTGTAACCGCTACCAGAGCTCCTTGAGAAAAAGAGCTTTAGAGATGATGAATTAAGGAAGTAATTAGAGCTAGAAGTGAAGAGGGTGTGCTTTGTTAGTGTTAATTTGAGTCTGCAAAAGCATAGGGTGGATGAATGGGTCAAGAAGAGGCAGAAAAAAAAGCAGATTGAGTCCTATATTTTGAGATTTTCGTGTGACCAGTCATTTTTAAGTCTTGTAGCTTTCTAACGTTTCTGAAAAACATTGCTTTCATTATAGATGAACCAGAGGGTTGGCTGGGGCCGGAAAAGTGGCAGGTCCAGACGTGCACTTTAACCTGCCACTGGGAAAAGCAGGAAGTCAGGGAAGACGGCAAGAGCCCTTCAGAGGGAGATTTAGTAGCTAGCGTGGGCCAGTAAAGGAGTTATGAGCACTGGACTGCTAACCGGAAGGTCAGTTCAACATATGAGCCGTTAGCGGGATTAAGATGGGGGTTTCCGCTCCTTAAACATTTAGTCTCGGAAACTCCAGGTCGTAATAGGTCAGCATCGACTGCATGTCAGAGGGTTTGGTTTGGTTTGGGTAAACTCGTAGTTGGGAAGGCGTGTCCGCGAGGACCAGAGACACCTCAGCGGGTAGCCGCCTGCGATTAGATTTTTCTGGGACCAGGACAGCTTCGAGGTCAACAGCAGCCCGGGCGCCGTGGACGACCGTACTACCTTACCTGCCCGCCACCAGTGGACTCTTCGCTGCCCCCTATACCCAGGCTCCCCGCTGTTCCCCTTTCTCAAGATCAGTTTTCCCCGCGCGGCTTCGCCCCGCCCATCTGGCCCCGCGCAGGGCCCCGCCCAGTGCCTCGGCCCCGCCCAGCGCCTCTGGCCCCGCCCAGCGCTCTCTCCCTCCCTACGTCTCCGACCCCGCCCGGCACCTCTGCCTCCGCCCACTGTCCCCCGCAGGTCGGCGGCCTGGGTGGGCAGGTAGGCTGAAGAGAGGTAACTTTGCTGGTTCACTCTCAGCCGCGAGATCCGTAGAGAGGCACCCGTGAGGTCAGAGGCGGCATGGCGGGAGCTGCGGAGGAGCGCGAGCCGGGCCCCGCGGTGGGAGAGCAGTTGCAGGAACAACATGTCGCGTGCCAGGTTTTCCCCGAGCGGCTGGCCGAGGGGAAGCCACTACGAGGGTTCATTTCCAGTTTAAGCAAGGACCAGAAGTGCCAGCTCATGCTTCAGAAGACGTTGGAGACAAGTAGGGGCCGCGTCCTGGCGACGGTTGGGGATCGGAAGGGTGGTAGGGAGAGCCGGCCAGCCAGGAAGACCTGGGCCCCATATGGCCTCTGGCTTCGCGATCTGTAGAGTTCAGGCACCTCAGCGCAGTCCTGGCAGGGTCGGCATCGTGGGGTCGGAATTGGGGGACTGGGCCTCAGTTTCCCCATCGGAGAAGGCTCCAAGATCCCTTTCAGCACTGCTGCTGCTTGTGGAATGAACGAGGAGTCTGGCTAGGAGCTTGTCTGCCCTTATTGGTTGCAGGTTTGACAAGTTAAGTTACTCTGATTTCTGTCAGAAATTCTACATCAGAAATCAGGACGAGGCAGAGGATTTTTTCTTTCTAAATTTTATTTTTGTTGTTGAGGGCACACACAGCAAAACATACACCAATTCCACAGCTATAATTTAATAATATTGATTACACTGAGTTGTAACCATTCTCACCTGCTTTTTCTGAGTCCTTCCTTCCTTATTAACATAAATTCACTGCCCCCTAAGGTTCCTATCTTAAGTTTTTGAGTTGCTGTTGTCAATTTGACGGCCATATAGATCTTAAAAGAACATAATGCACAAGGCAGAATTATTTTTACTAGTTAAGCAAGAGAAAGATGAGTATTTATGCTCCTGTAAATATTTACAGACTCAAAAATCCTATACATGGTTGCTGTGAGTAGGTACCGGCTAGATTACACACAACAACAACATTGATTGACTTTTTAAAGATGCTTTCAGGGAATATTTTGGTTTAAAGTTTAAAATTTATCCCAGGGTAGTAGTTTCAGGGGTTCGTTTAGTCCCCATGGCTCTAGAAAGTCTATGTTGTTGTGTTAAGTGCCATCGAGTTGCTTTCGACTCATAGCAACTCTGTATAGGGCTTCCCGGGAGTGACTGGTGAACTTGAACTGATGACCTTGTGGTTCAAACCGACTTTGCAGTCCAGCACATTAATCCATAACATGCCACCAGAAGTCCACAGAAAGTCTAGTCCATGAGAATTTGAAATTCTGTTCTCCATTTCCCCCCTTTTTGATTTGGGGTGGTGATCGTTGTGTATTGTGAAGTCGATTCCGACTCACAGCGACCCTTTATAGGGTTTCTGAGTCTGTAAATCTTCATGGGAGCAGAAAGCCTCATTTTTCTCCCATGGAGCATCTGGTGGACTTGAACTGCTGACTTTGCATTTAATAGCCCAATGCTTAATCCGTTATCCCACCAGGGTTTGAGGCAGCTTTAAAGAGCCATGGTAATTAAGGCATAGCCACTACTGTTGTTATTGTTGTTAGGTGTTATTGGGTCTGCATGACTCATAATAACTCTCTGCACAACAGAATGAAACACTGCCCAGTCTTGCAACATCCTCACAATGGTTATGTTTGAGCCCATTGTTGCTGCCATGGTGTCAATTCATCTCCTTGGAGGTTGTCCTCTTTTTCATTGACCCTCCAATTTGTTGTTAGGTGCCATTGAGTTGATACCAACTCATAGTGACCCTGACCACAACAGAATTAAACACTGCCTGGACCTGCACCATCCTCACAATTGTTACTACATTTAGCCTATTGCTACTGTCTCTGTGCCCATCCGTTTTACTGGGGGGTCTTCCTCTTCTTCTCTGACCCTCCATTTACCAAACATGATATCCTTCTCCAGGGATTGCTCCCTCCTGAGGGTATGTCTGAAGTGTGAGAGACGAAGTCTGGCCATCCTGGCTTCCAGGGAGCATTCTGGCTGTACTTCCAACACAGATTAATTTGTTCTTTTGGGTAGTCCATGATACTTTTAACATTCTTCTCCAACATCATAGCTCAAACACATCAATTCTTCTATCATTTTCCTTATTCACTGTCCAACTTTCACATGCATATGAGGTTATTAAAAATACCGTGGCTTGGGTCAGGTGCACCTCAGTCCTCAAACTGACATCTTTGCTCTTTAATACTTTAAAGACGCCTGTGCAGCAGATTGTCTAGTACAATATGTCTGATTTCTTGACTGCTACTTCCATGATTGTTGATGGTTGATCAGAGCAAAATGAAGGCTTTGATGACTTCAGTTTTTTCTCTATTTATGTTGTCTCTGGATATTGTTTAGGGGTCCAGTGGTAAGGATTTTTGTTTTCTTTACATTGAGATGCAATCCATACTGAAGGCTGTGGTCTTTGATCTTCACCAGTAAGTATTTGTTGTTGTTGTTGTTGTTATGTGCCATCAAGTTGGTTCCGACCCATAGCGACCCTGTATAGGGTTTCCGAGGGTGTAAATCTTTACGGGAGTAGAAAGCCTCATCTTTCTCCCGCGGAGCAGCTGGTAGTTTCGAACCGCTGACCTTAAGGTTCGCAGCCTGAATCGTAACCACTACGCTACCAGAGCTCCTTAAGTCCTCTTAATTTTTAGCAAGCAAGATTGTATCATCTGCATATCGCAGGTTGTTAATCTTCCTTCTACCCTGATACCATGTTTTTCTTCATATAATCCAGTTTCTAGGATTATTAGCTCAGCATATGGAGTGAATAAGTATGGTGAAAGGTTTATAACCCTCGTGTACACCTATCCTAATTTTAAACCATTCGGTATTCCCTTGCTCTGTTCAAATAATTGCCTCTTGGTCTATATACAGGTTCCTCATGAACACAATTAAGTGTTTTGGACTACTCATTCTATACAATACTGTCCATAGCGTGTCATAATCCACACAATCAAAAGCCTTTGCGTAGTCAATAAAGCACAGGTAAACAGCTTTCTGGTGTTCTTTCAGCCAAGATCCATCTGACATCAGCAATGATATCCCTTGTTTCTTGTCCTCTCCGGAATCCAGCTTGAATGTTTAGAAGTTTTCTGTCAATGTATGGTTGTAGCCATTTTTTATTTGTCTTTAGCAAAATTTTGTATAGGCTTTCTGCATTATTCAGTATTTTGTCCAAAGAATCCTTCAATATTACAAGTTGAGGTTTGAATTTTTTCTTCAGTTCTTTCAGCTTGAAAAATGCTGAGCTTGTTCTTCCCTTTTGGTTTTCTAGCTCCAGGTATTTGCAGCACATTTTGTTATAATATTTGACTTTGCATTCTTGAGCTGACCTTTGAAATTTTCTTTTCAGCTCTTGTACCTCCTCACTCTTCCATTTGCTTTAGCATCTCTACATTGGACAGCAAGTTTCAGAGTTTCTTCTGACATCCATTTTGGTCTTTTCCTTCTTTCTTGTCTTCCCAATGACCTTTTGCTTTCTTCCTGTATTCTTAATGTCATCCCACAACTCTTCTGGTCTTAGGTATTTAGTGTCTAATGCATCAAATCTGTTGTTCAGATGATCTCTAAATTCAGGTGGAATATATTCAAGATCATATTTTGGCTTTCTTGGGCTTGTTTTAATTTTCTTCAGCTTTTGCATGAATTTACATATGAGCAATTGATGGTCTGTTGTATAGTCTACCCCTGGCCTTGTTTTGGTTGATATCATACACAGCTTTTTCCAAAATCTCTTTCCACAGATGTAGTTAATTTGATTTCTGTGTATTCTGTGTATAGTCATCTTATATGCTGTTTAGAAAAGGTATTTACAATGAACAAATCATTGGTCTTGCCAAATTCTATCATGTGATGTCCAGCATTGCTTTTATGACCAACGCCATATTTTTCAAAGACTGATCTTCCTCTTTGTTTCCAGCCTTCTAATCGCCAGTAATTATCAGTACATCTTGATTGCATGTTTCACAATTTCATACTGAAGAAGTTGGTAGAATTCTTCAATTTCATCATCACTGGCTTTAGTGGTTGGTGTGTAAATTTGAATAATAGTGGTATTAACTAGTATTCCTTGTAGGCATACAGATATTATCTTATCACAGACAGCGTTGTACCTCATGACTGATCTGGATATGTTCTTTTTGATGATGAATGAGATGCCATTCCTATTCAATATGTCATTCCCGGCATAGTAAACTATGTGACTGTCAGATTTAAAATGGCCAATACTAGTCCATTTCAGCTCACTTAATACCTATGATATTGATGTTTATATGTTCCATTTCATTTTTTGTTTTGAGTTTTTATTATGAATTATGTGATACTTTACATGGGAGAACATTAGCTTTACATTCATCCTATAGTATTTTGTTTCATTGCAATGATTACAATCCCATCCATGTATCATCAGACAACCAAAGGGTACACCCTGCAAGCCTGCCCCCAGCCATCATCGGCACAGAGCCCCTCTCCCTCCCTGCCATTTCATTTTTGACAATTTCCAATATTCTTAGATTCATACTTCGTACATTCCATGTTCTGATTATTGATGGATATTTACAGCTATTTCTCTTCATTTTGAGTTGTGCCCCATCAGCGAATGAAGGTCCTAAAGGTTCTACTACATTTGCGTTAATCACAGTCAACTCTACTTTGAAGAGGCAGCTTTTCCCCAGTCATATTTTGAGTGCCTTCCAACCTTAGAGGCTCATCTTCCTGCACTATATCTGACAATATTCTGGTGCGCATCATCATGTTACAATATTCAATAATTTGATGCTGACAGTGTTCCACTGCTATTCATAAGGTTTTCAGTGACTAAATGTTTGGAAGTAGCCCATCTGCCCTTCTTAGTCTGTCTTCATCTGGAAGCTTAGCTGAAACCTGTCCACCGTGGGTGACCCTGCTGGTATTTAAAATACCCATCACATAGATTCCCGAATCACAGCAACTCACAAGTCACAGAACGACAAACTGACAAGTCTGTGGATCCTAGGCATTAGTGAGCTGAAATGGGCTGGTATTGGTCATTTTGAATCTGACAATCATATGGCTTACTATGCTGGGAATGACAAATTGAAGAGGAATGGCATCACACCTACAAAAGACCAGTCAATACCACTATTATTCATATTTACACACCAACCAATAAAGCCAGTGATGGTGAAATTGAAGAATTTTACCAACTTCTTCAGTCTCAAATTGATCAAACATGCAATCGAAATGTATTAATAATTACTG